GCCTTGGCGAGGTCACCGAGCTTCTCGTATGAAGAACCAATTCGGGTGTAGGCCTTGGCCATAAGCTTGAAGTCGGCGCGCAAGTCGCGTCCCTCCTCGATGGCCTTTTGGCAGGTCTCGATTGTGCCTTCGTAATCGGCCTTCTCGAACTTGGCGGCACCAATGTTGTTCAAGTAGGTGATGTCCTTGTGGAGGTCCCAGGCCTTGGTGTAGTGCTCAATGGCCTCATCAAGCTGCTTCTTCTTGTAGAAATCGTTTCCAATCTTCTTCTCGGCATCACCAGCCTCCTTGGCCTGCTTCTTAGCGAGTGCCTCTTCGTCGACTGGCTCGGGCTCCGGGGTGGGCTCCTTCTTGGGCTGCGAGGTGCTGGGGGTAGCAGCGGGGGCAGGAGGCTCAGCACCCTCGCCACCGAAGTTCATATCAATACCGAGAAGCACACTCATGACCTGCAGGAAGCGAGGGTCGCGGATCTCCTCTCCAACACTGTTAGGGTTCTGTTGGATCTTCTGCAGCTTAGCCATGAACTCAGCATCTCCCAGCAAGGAGGCGGTCTTGGGGTTGTTGGCCAGCTTCTGGAACAGAGCCGGGTCGTTGAACATGCCACCGAGACCTCCTGTTGGGTCTCCGCTGACACCATCAGCGGTAGCTTCCGCGTTGATGGCGCGCTGGGTTGCCTCCAGACCCGACTTGGCCTGTGCGTTGCCAGGCTCAATCTTCAGAGCCTCGTCATAGGCATCGTGCGCAGCCACTGCCGTCAGTTAGCACCTTGTCACAATGCAGGTTGTTCCACCACTTTGTGCGCAACTAGAATAACATACAAAGATCCCCGAGACCGCGGTACGCAGCACCCTTGCGGGCATGGCCCTTAGACCAATCGGGCTTAATCTCGATCGCCTTCTCGGCATCTTCGAGAGCTTTTTGATATTCGTTCTGGGCGGTGTAGACAGCGGAGCGGTTGGAGTAGAGGATGTGGTTTTCGGGTTCGATGGCAAGGGCCTGGGAGAATTTCTCACTGGTTTTTATCAGTCTCTGCTTTAACGGAATCACCATGTTAAAAGGTGGGGTAACGCGTACACAGCAGTGGAATAGTCCTTAGCAGAGAAGGCCTTGTTGCCCTCTGCCTTCAAAGCGTCAGCCATTTTCGAGTGATATGCTAAAATGCTCAAGAAAAGGATTAATGCAGATCAAAAACAAGACCACGAGGAACTGAAAGTGCTGAGGTCATAAGCTCAATCGGCCGCTGCTTCTCGAAATTTCCGTTGCAGTCTATTGCCTCAGGCAGGAATTATTTAAACCTCAGGCAAGTAAAGCACCTCAGGCATTCAAGCTGACATTGAAGCTCCGCCGGGCTAAGCCCTTTTAGGTCAAAGCCAGTCCCCGCCGAGAAAAAGTCGCCAAAAAAACACCATTTGTGATTCATTCGTGACTGAAATTTACCGACATCGACGCACCATGGTCCTCTAACTTTCCTCCCTGGCTCTAGCACGCTCCCTTGAACATGAAAAACCACGAGCCTCTTCGACTGAACCTTGATTTTGCCTGATATCTCTGTCGCATCTCCAACAATGGCCTCCGCGGGGTCCCAAGTGGCCGAGCTTGCCTCCAAGCTTTACGATGCATGCGTGAATGAATTTGACCCCGATCACCTGTTCTATCAGAACGACTTCCTCAATCTCAAAGTGATCCCAAAGAACGACGTTGCGCTGCTGCTAGAATGCACACAGAGCCTCGTCAATCAAAATCTCTTTCGACTTCTCCAAAAAGATGGAAAGCTCACGTGGAAGCTCATTGACCGCGAGGATGCCGAAAAGTAGGAATCGCATGCATCTCTGTGTCGATAAACCACATAACTAACCCCTCCTCCCTTCCAGGCTCCGCAACCTCACCCCGGACGAGGCCATGGTCTACAATGTCATCCACTCCACAGAACGAACAGGTATCTGGGTGCGGCACATTGGAAACCGTACGAACCTGCACAAGTCGATCCTCGACCGATGCCTGAAAGCCCTCGAAGGGAAAAATTACATCAAGTCCCTCCACAATGTCAAATATCCCAGCCGCAAGATGTACATGCTGGCCGGGCTTGCTCCGAGCGAAGAAGTAACCGGAGGAGCCTGGTTTACGGATGGTGTACTGGACGCCAACTTCATCAACAGTGTCGCAGGCTACATCGAGTACACCGTGAGCCGGAGGAGTTGGTTCGAAGTCCCGGCCTCAGACCGCAAGAACAAGCGCATCAAAACCGCCTCCGGCAAGGCAGATGTCAAGTCCGATGAAAAAACATACCTCCCCTACCCCCACGGCTACGCAGGATACCCGACCGTGGCGCAGATCACCACGGCCGTCAATGACAGTGGCATTACTCCCGTCCGCCTGGGCGAAGAGAGCGTCGTGCAACTCCTCGAAATGCTCTGCTACGACAACAAGCTCGTCGCTCTAGGAAACGGCGAATGGTACAGATCCCTCAAGAGCCCTGAGGCCGTCAAGGCGAATCAGTCCCGCAAGCCGCCCGTCGAAGGCGACGATCTCTCCGTTGCAAACAAGCACCTCGTGAAGAACGGCATGACGGAAGCCCCCTGCGGCCAGTGCCCAGTGTTCAAGCTGTGTGCACCAGGCGGTGCAGTCAGCCCCGAGACCTGCGAGTACTTTGATCCGTGGCTGAGCAATGGCCTTGGGTTCTAAGTGGACTGGCGGGCGATGGCTTTTCCACGAATATCTGATTTCTGACTTTCGGCGTACTGTGTGCGCCCGTGTGCCAACATGTTTTGCATGGAAGAAACAAAAAAGGGGGATATGTGCATAGCGATGGCGTTTTCGACTTGATTTGGTTAGGCTCCGGCTCACTGGTGGCCCTGGGAATATCGGGTGCTGGGTGTGCACGGCTTGGACATACGCTTGGCTGTAGCTGGGAATGGATACCCAGGGGAGGGAATACCTGCTTCCTATTTTCCTTTCCCCTCGGGGATTAGTGTCAGTTTTTGTCTAGAATAGGCAGAATATGACACTGATTCCGTTTAAACAAATTTGAATTATGCAGTAAAACTAGTAGCAAGTAGATATCTTTGTCAACTCCAGTCCAGCCTACCATAAAAAGTCCCTCAAACGCCGTGGGTATATCAACCGTCATACAGATCATAGAAAAAGAAGACAACAGAGAATCACTTGCCCAGAGTACGTCTGCACTCATCACAGTACCAAGTCCCAACTGGCTCGCGGGTCAGACCAACACACTTCCAGTGGAACCACTCATAGGGACACTCGTCATTGTCGCAAGCCACCATGTCCCCATGGCTAACAGTGCGACAGGTACAATAGACCTTCGAATCCTCATTACCCTCATCCTCATCCTCATCGTCGACATCCTCATCAGCAGCACCATCACTCTTGTCGGAGTCCGACGTATCAGCACTGCTGAGCATAGAGTCATCATCCTCATCGCCTTCTCCATTAGGAGATTTCTTCGTAGCCTTGATGCGACCACTAGCACTGGAAGAGCGCTTGATCGGCTTTCCGCTCGCAGTCTTCAGCTTCTTGACTTGCTGGTGCGGTGCAACTTTCTTAGTCAGTGCCTTCTTAATACCGATGCTAGCACGAGGGCCGACACTGCCTGCACGGCTGCCAGCCGGTGTACCGGGTTTCGGTGTACCCGGACCCATAGAGGACTGACGGAGGTTCGAGGAGGCTACGGGGAGGGTGTTGAGGGATGGGTTCAAGCGGCGACGTTTGCTGTCCACAGCTCCGGCAGAGGATTCGCGTTGACGTTGCTGGAGGTGTACGACAGCTGCTGCTGGAGTAGCCGGTGCAGAGTTGCGTGCTGTGGTTTGTCCGAGCTGGGTTGTAGAGCTGGTGGCGCGAGGGGTTGTGGATTGATTCAGGCGCTGCGCAGCAGCCAGGATGGGGTTCGCATTCCCGGAAGTCGGGTTGAGGGGTGTTGAGTAGGCTGGGGTGTCGGTAGGGGTGGAGTCAGGGAGGAAGATCTTTGGTGGGTTGCGGTATTTGTTTTTTGAGTCGAAGAGGGAAGGGAGGGGTGGGTCGTTGGTGAGGAGGCCTTCGTTGACTAGATCGCGAATGCGCACGTCTAGTCGTTTGATCTGACGATCAAGGAGGACACATGCCTTCTCGCTGAGCTGGATTTTCTCGTTCTGCAGCTCATGGGATCTGTCCATATTCTGTAGGATAGACTTGCTGTATGGCTCTTCCTTTGGGTTCGGTGTCAGACTGCCGTTCAGTTTGATGAATTTCTGGATGCTGCTGTCGCGAGAGTTGATTGTAGCGCGACACTCTTGCATAACCTTGTCCTTGGCCTGGATTTCCTCCATGAGGTGGTTGATCTCAGCTGGAAGATTCGCCACATCGTGGACGAACTGCTCCAGGACAGTTGCGCAGTCCTCTGCACCGTGTGCCATTTTGGATTCGGTCGCAGGGCGGGTTGAAGGTGGCTCCTATCGGGATGCTGAGGAAATGAAAGGCAACCCAACCGGGCTCGATGTAAGCGTTTGCTCCGATTTTTATCTTATTGCACCGAATTTAGATGATCAGATGAACGCCTGGCCTTTGCTTACGTCGTTATTTGGACACCCATCATAGGGAACAAATTGGTTGAAGTCGAAGATGCGCTGACTCATCAATGACTAATACTCGGATCGGCACTGTGATTGTCCGAAGTATAGACATCTCTTTCCACCTGATACATTTAGATTTTCGAACCACTACTATATGTAGGGATTTCAACCTTATCTATGTTATTATAGACCATTTAATTTTAAATTTCTAAAGTGAAACTAAAATCACAGGCATCATTGATCGGAAATATGCCTTTTGGTTTTATTCGGAACGAATTTGGATTTTAAAACAAGCCCGCTAGAATATTATGGGACCAGGGCCTGACATACTTTGATGGAACTAACATTGAAATCGGTAATTTGTTGATTATAGCGGTGAGGTTAGAATATTCCGCACTTTTCATCATCAAAGCATTCGGCGAGGAAGAAATCCGGCACTCACTCACTTGCTTTCACTACGTAAACCCGAGCGAGACCGGGCCGGACTGTGCCCCCGTCAAGAGGTTCAAGAGGCTCCGAGTGTGGTGTTAAGAAGGGATCGCGCCAGACGACAATATGAGAACGGAGCTTCAGGTCCAACACCCTGAGTCGTATGGCTGTCAAAGAGAAGACCACATCTCTGAAAGATACAATCCGTGCGATGGAAGAGAATGAGGAATGTGTCAAATTCAGCGAGTTGGGAGCGACACCGAGTCTATTTGCGGCCGAAGTGCGGCCAAAGCTTTCTCCAGAATGACCAGTACCCTGTGCGAGCTGAAGGACTTTCTCCGAGATATCGAGACCTTCAAACAAGCTGATCGTGAGTGGTTCGGCCCTGCGGATGCTTGCTTAGGCTTCAGAGAAACATGTTCAACCACTTTTATCTCAGATACTCCTCACTACCTGAAGACATTGATGGCATACCGCTGTTCATTCACGGGCAGCGGTCTGGGTATTACAGAGGGGAAAAGGATATCCTTGACACTGCCGTTCTCCGGCATGAAATTGAAGACGGTGACACCATAACCCATACCACGTACGAACACCCTATCCGTCCACAGGGTGACGTTCAATTTTGTCAAACTGGTGACTCTGACTCGCTTGTGTTCACCAAATCCCATGTGGTCGTCGGTATGCTCTTTGCCGGCGGCGCCAGTCATAGAATGTCTTTTTTCCACGCCTATTGACAATCTGTTTGAAGACAGTAAGAAGATCACCAAGGCCATTGATGTGTGGCTGAAGGTGTCTTCTTCATCGGTGGCTTCTCTCCCGTTCTTTTGGTCAATCGCTTTTGGGGATCAACCACGTCCTTGGCCCTTTTTTTTTTTTTTTTTTTTTTCTTTGGCAGATTGAGTCCAGTGCTCCACATCTGTCCTGGTTACTACCTGGTATTCACATCATGCAGTTAAATCAAACGAATGAACCTGCAAAGTCTATTTATTTATCTTTACATTTATCGAGAAAGACTTGTGGGCTTGGTACGATTATTAGGATTTTTCGCTTTATAGACTCTCAACCTACAATGTAACAAAAAGTTTAAATAATGGCGGTTTGGCCGAGTGGTTAAGGCGATTGAGTATGTTCCTCTTGCCAAACAAAACCCACGAAAGATCCATTCACTAACAAATACTCACAGCTCGGTACGTTACATCACCATCAATACTACATTTGTTCACGCCTAATACTAATTCTCCTCCAGAAATCAATTCCATTCGTGGGCGCATGTTCGAATCATGCAGCCGTCGTGTCTCCTTTTTTTGTGTTCTTGATCTAGATCAAAGAATTGATTCAAATTTTTATAGTTTTTTTTATTTAACCACCTTATGTTTTACTACCCGCCGCTAAAGGCTGTCTTTAGTCCACTACAGCAGTCTACATATGTACGTTAAATATATGGGGCTAAATTGAATTAGGGAGAAATTAAATAGATTCCTATATAAGTAGTAGGGATTGTACGTTTAGTACGTCTACTCTCTGCTGATAAGAGGATAAATGTGGCTGATTGACATAACAAGGCGGTTTGGCCGAGTGGTTAAGGCGATTGACTCGGTATGTAACATCACCATAAATCCCGTTACCATTGAAGCCTTATACTAATCCTGCTCCAGAAATCAATTCCATTCGTGGGCGCATGTTCGAATCATGCAGCCGTCGTGCTCTTTCTTTTTCTTTTTTGTCCATATTTTCCACTAAGGACGGCAGAATCCAAGTCGTAACGGTGCCAAGTGCCGAACACATATTGTGTATTGGTGCGCCCCACTAGATGCAATATTTTCTCAATTCCATCAACTTGCTACCTTTTTGACTACTATTCCACGATGTCAAATCAAATCGAGAATGTCGAGGATCGAATGTAGGATCCAGTGAAAGTATACTATAAAGCTATTAAGCCTAATATAGCTAAATTAGGAGCTTTTTTAGGGCCTGACTATATAAACCATAAATGTATATTTAATTTATGGCACCTTGAGTTAACGATTACCTAGATCTAACTATATTTTTTCGGTATCTATAATATATCGTTATAAATAAGTGTTACTATGGGGCCAAGAGATTAAAATTTTAATGAACATAGTCAGTCCCTTCGTTTCCTAGGTCAGAGTAATAATTCCACCAATGCCTCCGAACCCATTTTTTTGGAAGTGTGAATATAATGACCATGCAACCGTTACCATTACAAGTACGAAAGAAGTATTACATACAAAAGTTCCTGGGGCCTTAGTGCAAGTCTTAGGTTATGAAGGCGATTCATTCTTTACTTCTGTTGGACATTGGACCATTCTATGCTTGTTGCTTGCAGACTGAGAAGATTGTTTGGTGATTGTCTGATGGCTACTGGCGAAGGGGAGGAAGAGAAAGAAGAATCATTGTTCAATCTAGGAAAAAGCAGGATAATTACAGCCGATGTCTTACAAACAATCTGCCCAGTCTGCAAGCCAACAATGCGAGATGAGATCATCCAACATTGGGGAGTGAGGACATTTGACGCCTAAACCACGGCCTCTCGCTGAATTCAAGAAGATAAAATGCTTTTCCCTCCATCTTCCGTCAGTCTGTCTCTAACCTTGATTACCATGTACCCCGAGCCGAGATTCCTGAGCTCCTGCGAGCCTCCTGAAGCAGTGCAGGAAACGGCACTCGGTGAAAAGAGTAGAGCCTCGCCCACCCGGAGATGAACGATTTTATGAAACAATAAGAGCTTTCTAGCAATCTTTGTGTTTTCCGGGTGGTCATCGGCATAGGCTGACGTCTCTTGATTCGACTGTACATCCAAAGCGGCTCCAGCCACGTGGCCCTGTAGTGCGCGTATCCACGCAGGGGACGAAAATCTATGGACAATAGTGACCGAGCACAGACTGAGAAGGTCGCTTGAAATCGTTGGCTCCTGGGTCGAAATCAAGATACGGGCCCCGAGGTGACGCTGCAAGCGAACAGTGGAGAGAAGGGTATCTGTAAAGTCTTGAGCTTCGACCGAATCTTTCATGTACTAGATAGAAATTGTCAGCAGCGATAAATAAGCTAAGTGCGTGTAGACCACACACCTTGTGAGCCTCGTCAAGGGCCACTATTCTGCCAATTTTGGTATCCTGCTCCATAAAAATACCGAAGCAAACGTTGAAAAGTGAGCAAGCGATATCAGGAGAGATACAAGGACAGGAGAGGTCAACAATTGTCAATTGTGATGCCTAGACCATTGATTAGTCCCTGAAAGTAACTTGAGGGTTTAATATATCAGTATTACCTCCGGTGTCCAGTTAGAACCCGCTCCTTGAGGGTTCGCCTGCTTTCCCTTTTCTCCCCTGTTCAGGGCTGCCTGCTGCGGGGGCATGAAACTCTCAAGCGTATCTAGTCGTTGTTTCAAAGGCTCGATCTGACCTGGAAGCAGGCCAGAACTAAGGATTCTGTTCTTGAAGTCCTTGTAATCAAACTGGGATCCTGTCTTTTGTTGTAAAAGGCGCATTTCCCGCAAAATCCGTTGAACAGTATGCATGTACAGAGGAACGGGCCCCCCGTTTTGACCAACTGCCATAAGATCCAGCATACGTTTAGTGCTCAGATCAGCTTGGTCTATCTGCAAAGGCTCAACCTTGATGTTGAATCTCGAATAGGTTTTCTGCAGGCCCATTAGCGAGATGAAGGAAATCGGAGTTATTCCATATTACCTGTATAGTGAGAAGGTTGGTCGGAGCACAAAGCACCCTCACTTTGATTTTCGAATGGGATGCGAGGAATGCGGCCTCACAGGGCGAACCACCATTGTCGCAGATGAAAGTATCGTAGTGGAAAACCACAGCTGTTAGGGGGTTTAGAAGTCTACCCGCTTTAGAATTGATCAAGCACCCTTCTAGTATGCAAGATAGAGTATGACTTTTTCCAGAGCCCTGAGAGCCACAAATGAAAGTGCTGGATGGCGAGGAAACGTTGAAAAAAAGCCTCGGGTCCTTTTTAATGATCTCGTTCTCCGCGCTTGCATGACTGGACGTCTCGATACTTTTGACCCCTGCAAGCAGACCATACTGCGGTGGAGCTAGTTTGGGCTGTCTCAGGACAAACCCTGTGAAAATGGGGGCAAGAGAGGCCGTTTCTTTCCGCTCATTAGAGCTGTCAAGTTTCAACAAGCTCAAATGATATGCTAGTCTTGGATCTATGAGCATGAAAATCAGCTCCGAAAAGGATAGAGAGAGAGAGAGAGGGAGGGGGGAGAAGATTCATAACAGTGTGAGGCAATGTAAGCCTATAGTGACGTACCTACTTGGGGCTCTTTGCACACTGATGCAGACATTTTCGAACTGCAGTTTGCAGAGAGATTCCAATGCCCCTAATTTTAGCTCTTTTTATACTCTGGGGTTGTGGATTCATCCACTTTTCCTCTTTATATGCAATGGTAAATGGGTGTTGAATGCTTGACCAAATGCAGGGTGTGCTCGCTTACGATCAGATATCCTGAGATGCTTGGCTGATAAGGACCAATGAAGTGAGACATGAGAATGCAAGGCGCGAACGGTGTCGCGGGGCTGTTAGGTATTCGTTAAGAAGTTGGGCCAATATCAAGAGCCCGAACCAACCGGTCAGGGCTACCCTCGTAAGTCCACAAGTGATCAATTATCTCATAGATGACATCCTGCATTGGAAGCCTCCCGCATTGGAAGCCGCCTGCATTGGAAGCCTCCTGCGTTGGAAGCCTCCCGCATTGGAAGCCTCCTGCATTGAAAGCCTCCTGCGTTGGAAGCCTCCTGCATTGGAAGCCTCCTGCATTGGAAGCCTCCCGCATTGGAAGCCTCCTGCATTGGAAGCCTCCTGCGTTGGAAGCCTCTCGCATTGGAATCTTCCCGCATTGGCGGTCTCCTGCTACAGCCTCCCGCAGTTTGTCTGCAGTGATTCGTTTCCCTCAAAATCTGCAAGCGTGGCATCAGCACGGGCTTTGTGCCTAGGGATGATAGATAATATTCTTGGCTCCCTCTAATAATGGATCGAAGCAACACTTTAGACCTAAAAATCACCGATATGAAAGAGAAACACCACTTATAGATTGACCCCATTGGTGTTGGCCCACCAAGACTTGATCCATACCGAAGATTTCTGGCCCGATTCTACGAGCCATTGTTTCTTTTGAGGGCACTTGGACAAACGCGAGGCGAGCATACACCCCAGCCCACAAACTTCGATGCTTCTATGGAAAGGAGACGAAGATTCTTACAGAACCTTATGTGTGTGATTTCAAGAAAGGAGGGGATTCTTGCACCGCAATAGGCTTGGAAAATTGCCAAACTCTCTACCTGTTTTAGGTTGCTTCTATTACGTGCTAGTTCTTTAAACAAAGAGTATATTCTAACTAGAATACTAAGTATAGAGAGTAAAAGAAAGGGAAGACAGGAATCTCCGAGATAGGATCCTTTATAGGATCCTATCACAATCAATCAATCAAACGATACATACCGCGCTAAAGCAGAAACCTTTGGTAAAATCTAGTTTCCTTTCTCTAGATCGTCACATCTTTAAACACGACGACCGAAAAGATAGTTTTATTTCTTAAAATAGCTCTCAGCTTCTTGATAGGCGCCAGCAGCCAGCCTGCCTTGGGTCTGGCAACCACAGAGTCTGTATTCATTCAGCTTTGCGCAGACTTTGCAATTTCTCACATTAACCTGGAGGGCAAAAATTTCCGAAGAGATGTAATGAAATGTATTTCAAGACTCACAGACAAGACCTCAGAAACCGGCGGGTATAGAGATTGCATAAATATTCCCTTGGATCTGCAGCTGAGATGCCTCTAGCCCAGGAACTGGTCAAATGGCTGTACATAGCTGTTAATCACAGTCAGAATACCGAGCTTTACAACTTCGCGTAAAGAACCGCAATTCGGTCTATATCGACCAGCTTGCAGCAATTGCCTTACAAGAAGAGAACAAATTAGGCCGAGCAGGCGGGAAGTCATGTTTTCCCTTAGTCCAACATCACATTTTGGGGCTTGCCCATCACATACGGACACCAAAAGAGCTTGTTGACGACTCCTTTCATTTGGGACACATATTGCAAACATACGATGTTTGTGGTATTGAACCCTTTCAAGTCTTAGAGAGCATTTTTATCAGAAAAAGCTCTTCTTTGCGGACGGCGATCGATTTATTGCTTGCAGCAAACCCGCTTGCCTCTGCTGTGAGCTATACTTCAAGCATCATCCATCGCGCATAGTGGTGACTTTGTCACACCGGGAAGTCTGGACAATATGGAGTCCTCCAGTCGTGAAGAAATTTACCAAGAATGACACGGCAACTTGAGAGCAAAAGCAGATTATGAGCAAGATTAAGCAACAGCTCCATAACCAGATCATTGACCAAGTCTTGCAGCACTCACAAGCAAGCCGCTGGCATCTAGACTCTAAAACTTGCAACACGGAAATATGCTCTGCAATTAACTTCAATTTGCTGGACGAACAGGACATTTGTGAAAATGCATACAGCGAATCTGTTGCAGATCCCTTGAATACTCCAGAGACCGGAGAGTGGGTTGGGCTAGATCGGGATATTGATTCGGACGATGGCGGCGTGTCTATTCAAATTTAATTCTCTAATTTAATTAAGTCTCCCATGGGTATCCATTTGTGATGCTATATCTCGTGTACAGTCTCTACATCCATCTAATTCGATCGAAAACTCGACTAGAGAACAATCACAATCCTATTTTCTATCTGCTCAACCCAATTGCATGTTTGTCCCTGAAGTGCCGTTGAAGATTATCCTTGCGTGTAAATGAGACATCGCATATCTGACAAGAGAACAGTTCTTCCACATCCCAGCGTTGCTTAGCCCACTTGTTATGAGCTCTTTCGACGTGTCGCCGCATGTCCCCTTGTTGTGCAGCAACGTAATGACACACAGGACATTTGACAGGTTTCTCATGCCATCTCACGTGTTTTCTGAAATAACTTAGATACACTCTTTCATTCCAGTTATGGAAGCCTCACCGAAAAAGTCCCTGCTGCTGGAAACCCTCCTGATCGCGACACGTCTCCCGCTGACAGTAATACAGCCCGTCCGAAGCAACATCCGTCATACTGATTGAAGGCATTTCTGCTTCTTCAAATTTCCATTTCGATTTTGAAACGCTATTAGGAGATCCTGAGTCTTGCTTGGCGTTTATCGACAATGAGCTCAGAGACTCTGAAGCGGCCATCGGATAGTCGCACATTTCACCTACATCCATCGGGATTGAACTCGACCCAGCACTCTATAGAGACTGGTCGTGGTCGAACAAACCCCGATCGGAAACAGGTTCAAGGTCCGTGGTGTATGAACTGACATGCTCGTCGAAGCTAGCAAATTCCATTGGGGTTTCGTAAGTTCCAGCTGACGGGAAGATACTGCCGTATTCAGTGTTGCAAAAGTGTGCTATCTCCGGTTCCATTTCAGGGGCCGAATTATTATCCGTAGTAGAAGCCGCGGAGTCGAAACAACGATCCCAAGGTACCTCCAGCATCCAATCCCCACTCTCGCTTTGACCAAAGAACCGGGGATCCATGGCCGATTGACTTGAGTGGGAGCAATGCACTTCGTACAATTCAGGCGGGTGCCAGCGAGTATATATATACACCAAGTACGAAGCATTCCCAGTGAAATTTCATGATATATGGGATCTACGTGGGGCTGACGACAACCAAGAACGAACGAAGAGACACGTATGGCTCAATTAGCTGTCAAGACACCACTTTATCGTTCACCGCTAGTTGTGGCCATGTAGCTGCTGACAGCGCATTAGCCAATCCAACATCTTGCCACCTGAGAGGCCTGCTGGAGTGACGAAGTCATAGTACTATCTACGAATTTAGTGGAAGTCAACATTACATTTCGGTTTCAACTTGTGTTATCAGAGTTGAATACCATATGCCTTTCAGTCCAGCACGTCAAAATGTGGCTCTGAATACAATATCTGATAGCTTTTAATAGGAAGTACGTTGAGCGTTAAAGTGATATTCGAATTCAGACCTGCAGTCTCGCTCTCTTTGTTTCCCAAGCCTCACCTCAAGTGCACTAGTCTATATTTATTAGGAAGTATTTCTGCCTTGCACTTGCCCTTGTACTTTCAATAAGTCTGATTAGCAAAGTATTCCCAGGAGCATCTATCATATAATGGCAATGCTGATTAGGTAGTCAAGTAGCAAGCTCTATTTTGGTGTAATTATTTGCGGCCAGTTTACCAGGATGAATGATCATAGTGATGATGCAGGCCGTTCGGACGATGAAAGTCCGTCTAAAGGTGGAGGCTTGCATGTGATATGACTGGCACCCAGTCTTAAAGCGCTCGGGGTTCAACCGCCCGATACAGAAATACAGAGAGTTGAATACCATTAATTGGACCCCTGCATTTATGATACGGTTTTGACCGACAGGTTCTTGATGCCTTGGATAGACAGATTACTGCTGATTAGTTCTTTTTTTCTCGGTGGGGCTCTCCATAAGCTGTGTCCACTGTGATACCTCACATAAACATTTAATTCGATCCGGTTCGGTTCGTGCGTAGCAGTATGCACTACTACATCGACAAAATAAGAACCCGTCTAGCGCTCTGCTTACGAAATCCTCCTCGTCATCGGGATTCTACCGGGATTACCACCTCATAACCAGCACTCGTAGAATATTTTCAAGAATTTCCCGCAGTTCATCCTCGACGAGTCCCGGGTTATCCCTTTGGACGAAATGCCCTGATCTCGGGTTTGCAATGGACCCTTACTCCACTCTAGTTCGGTGATCCTGGCCAACCCAACACATCGGCTGAGGAGGCCTTCACTACGGTCACGAGAGCCCCAACGTACATACCTGTTATTAAGTCCTTACTACGATCTCGTATATCGATACGCTTGAAAAAGGCTTAACCGAGAACTACCGACCGGATTATATCTTCTAGTAAGATAATACAAAGATTTATATTATAAAGATCACTTAAGAGTGGTTTGAGAAGTATAGAGCATATATTAAAGATTGGCCTATACTCATCTGATTTAAACCTAATTGAACTAGTTTGGAGATGGTTGAAAGTGAAGCTATTCGAGCTATATCCTAAGCTGATGTATATAGGTCGTTCGAAGGAGGACTAGGCATATTTTAAGCGCTATATTATATATACGTGGGAGGAAATACTATAGGCGAAAATTGATGGGCTGATTCTGAGTATGGAGCGGAGGTGCAAGGCTGTATAGAAAGCTAAGGGTTATTATACGAAATATTAAATGTATTTTAACCGAGAATAGTAGGACTTAAACCCTGTTTTTTTTTAGATGTAAATTGAGCAATAGGTGGTGTTGTAGTATATAGTTTAATATAAATGTATATTTGGATGGGTGGGGTGAAAATGCAGGTGGGTAAAGACTTAATAACAGGGATGTATTTCACCCCATAGCTGGACACCCCACCCAACCTATTATATTTAAATGCATTCATCTCAACCATAACGCCATTAAATTGATTCAATTAACTACCTGGTCTATCTGGATATGTTTCTCTTCTATGCCCTAGCAATCTATATATTCCATACCCCCTGGGAGGCCGCGTAGTGGCCGAATAGCCGATTCTCTAGGTATGCTGGGGCCGGGGAGAGGTCCAGTCTTCAGGCCGTACCTCACTCTGATAGTTATCGTTCAAAGCGAGGTAATCTGGACGGTTGCCACAGGTCTCCATCACCGGTTGAAAGATAACGGGTAGTAATAGTCGAGGATGTTCTACAAAGAGAAGGTAAAGGGGAACTCCTTAACTATCCTATATAACTAGAGAAAGTATTGCTCCCATCACGCAAGAATCCAAGTATTAAACCTAATTAGGTCAATTTTTGGTCTATATTGCGATTTTCTACCCAATTTGCACGTGATAAATTGCGAACAAAATTTGCGAATATTATTTGTGATGTTTACAAATGCGAGTACGAATAACGAATATTACGGATTCTGACGAATATTCATATTCACAACAGCCCTAATAATCTCGCAGTTACTAATACCCAGGCACCAAGTCAACTGCAATATTGTCACGTGCAGCATCCTTAGCCAGGCATATTCAGCGAAAAGAGAAACCAAATCATGCTCAGTGAGCAAGAGCATGAGCTATTAAATCCCCACCCCACCAGTAGCAGAATCATCACTCTCAGTCTCTACGCTAGTCTCGCTAGGAAAATAGGGAACGCCCCAAGGGTTGAACTTCGGGTCCATGTGAGGTTCTCGAGGACCACGGCCGGCTTTATCTTGACGATCAAGCGTCTTTCGTAGTTCGTCAAGAGAGAGACTGGCCATGGACGGACTGATATCAGTTTCGATGTCAATAATGGTTGAGGTGCCTCCCGCTGTCGAGTCCGCGAAGCTCATCCGCTTACCGACACTGGTAGCGATGTCGTTTGTTAAATCCCTCCTGACGGTGTCGATCATGCGAAGCAGAACACCCTGTTGATGCTGAGAGCGCGTCGCGGCATTCTGTTCGTCCGCAAAGACATCAGGAAGCCGCCAGTTCAGGTAGAGCTTCTGGTGGGAAGGGGGGCTCGCATAGCCTCTTGGATGGCAAGAAATGAACATGTGGCAGAGGTAGCAGGCTGGCTTACTGCATCCAATGTACCTATCCCTCTCATCGAGGAACCTGCCACCTGTCTGCTCAAAGTGGTCGAGAACTAAAAGTTCCGCATGCACGCGCGTTTTGCCTTTACAGAGATCCTTGGACAGGACCCGGTCCAGTTCCTTCTCTGAGTATATTTGCTGCAACTGCCGCAGGAATATATCTTGCTTCGCCGAATCAGAGAAAATACGATGACTAATGTCCTGAATGTTGCAAGTACGGACCACCAGAGGGATCGGGTTCTCCTGCGACCCCCCAATCGTCTCGATGCGCAAGCCTCGTGATAACTCTAAGCGAAGCCTGATGGTGGCCTCGATCAGTCGCTTACACTGAGCCACGTGCTTCCCCAGCTTGTAGAGCAGCTTATGGAGTCGCTCAAAGTTACGGGATTGCTCAAGGCTCCCGGTGGTGTGATGCAAGGCCTTGAACACCTCCCGGTCCCTGTAGCTGGAGAGGGCCAGGCTTGGCATGTCGCTTTCCTGAAGCTGCATACTGCTCTTTGAAAGGTGCGTTGCAATCCAGTTGCGGAGTTTGATGATGCCGTCATGATCTGCTCGTGGTGGTAACGCTTCATCAGCCTTGATGTCCAGCAAGAGCCGCTCTTCTTCCGGACAGGGCTGCGTACCTTTCAATCCAGACTCGGCATTCAATCGTCCCATCACCAACGAGACCAGTTTGTTCACCTGCTGATAGTATACGAAGATTTTGGGGGCGTTGAGGTCCAGCACGTGGGCAGTCAAAATTTTCATCACCTCTCGGCCCTCATTCGTGTCCAGTCGAACCGTAGGATGATCGATGATCCATAAAAGAATTATGAGAACCTTCTGCAGAAAAGTGACGATCGCCGTATCAATGCTATTGTTGGCAGCCAGCAGAACTACTATCGCATCGGGAGTCTCTTCTAGGGCCGCCGCGGTGACGTAGCCAGGCTTCTTCTGGTACGCACATATATAGGCGATGGCGTCCACAAAGGATCGATAGCATCTGGGGGCAGTCAGCCCCGGGCCTTCGGGGGATATATCACCGGGCTTTATTCGATCCCCTCGGACTTCGCTTAGAGTGTGGAGCAAGCAGAGAGGCTCATAGAGCAACCGCAATTTTTTAGGCTGATGGGAGATCAGCGAAGCCTCCGAATATTCTCCACTCATTGCGTCCTGCTCGAGAAGGTTTGCAGATTGATGATAACAGATATACCAGGTGTTCTTTATCTGTGGGATGCCCGCTGCAAGCTTGATATATATACTCTAAAGTTCATCCTCTTAACCCTGTTGCACTTTTTCTGACTTACTGCACCCTGGTAATCTTATTATTCATTATTGCTGTCCAAAGCTAGCCATTGCCTTGTTTCTCTTTCGCTCCCTTTCTTTTGCTTTCCAATTGTTTCCCCCCTCTCATTTTTCTGACGCTGCCAATGTGTATCCCTGTCTTTTGGTTTCCTTCACTCGTTACATGACGCAAGCCAGATTGAAGCCATGTCACACTGCGTCAATCGTCGTGCAAGTCTCGATGTTACTATGCTGTACACAGACATACTCCTGCTGCAGTGTCAAGGTCGCGGGTTCATGTTAGCCATGCATGCGAGTCTTTGTACTTCTGCGGAGTAAAATGAACTTGTGTCTGCGTCTGCCACGGAAGACCGCTGGCAGTACGGCTGACCCCGCATGGACAACACATTTTCAAAAATATGACATGTCACGCTCTACATCACTCCTTCGTGTACTTCCTTTGAGAGCCTGTAAATGGAAGAACGAGACGCCACGTCTACAGGATAGAGTCTTACGGTGAGTCACAGTTGGGATATTTTCCATGTTGTACTGGTTTCATGCTTTTGTAGGAACCATCTTAAAATAAAGGGAGTGGGGAGAACATACATAAAGTTCAATAAATCCTCCAACCTCGAAAACCTAAGATACTGCTTTGCTATCAGTCCGAAGCATTAGCATGGCCAGTCTGCAAGACCACAGTCAACCAACCGATTCCGAGGGCGAGTCTAATGGCCATCTGTCTCCCATCTGCATTTAAACTAACGCCACCTCGTTTATAGATCTTCTCATCGGCACCCTTCTCTTTCAAATATCAGTTATCTCATCCCTCGCCAGCTCTGAAATGTCGCGCAAGGAGACTGAGGTTAGCCCGCTATTTCAGTCAACTCTCGCCGGCTGTCAGACTCACGCAGATACAGGATTATTGCAACCATGCTTTCCAAACGTTTAACTGGACGGGAATAAAGGGGTCTCTCGAAATCGCCGAAGACTCGCAAACAGCTATCGGAGAAGAGAGCAGTGCCCGGGACCTTGTAGTCGCCCTGCTAGGGCAGACCTACAGACTCTGCCCTGAGCCTCAAAGACTCCCGCTTTTATGGAACCTCGCCGACATATTCTCTCCAATTTCTCCCGGAACAGCCCATCGTGGCAGCCATGTAATGACGAGTGTGGAAACATCGAGCCCCCCAAGTCCAGGTCACTCGCAACCTGGACGAACTACTGCTCACGCAGTCGCTCTCCATCGATACACCGCCGCGTTGCATGAGAGGGGCCAGAGAGAAAACAAGAGACTTCAGCGAATTGAGGAGCAGATAATCACACTGAATCCGCCTCTGTTCAAGGTAATTGTCCAGTATGGAAATGTCACCTGCTCTGGTAGAGCTCGAACAAAGAAAGAAGCTGCGCACTTGGGCGCCAAGGAAATTTGCCGCCAATTGAATGAAACGATACGATTAGACTGAATAGTGACGAGGGAGATGCTCAATCTGATGAGTCGAGTAGACAGGGAATCGCACATTCAGCAGCGTTCTGTAGCAGTGGGACAGCAGCAGATATCACAGAAGTAGCATGAGGTCAAAAAGACCGTATATTCAATAAATCGACCAATCTGGCAGATGTCTGTAAGAAGGTGTCTGTCTTTGTCCAAAACATAAGGGTTCTCGATAAGCAGCATATTTCATAAAGATCGCTTATTGTGCTTACTCGACCTCCTAGCTCTCGCGATTTCTTTACTATTTTCCTCACTATAATAGAGAATGATTGAAAGGCTGAAGCTCAGCTCAATGATCAGAGAAAGAAAGTAGACAATCTGGTATATGATTCTAGGTATGTATGAATCAAGGATCTTATGGGCAATTGGCAGACTCAGCACTGAAAGTAAAGGCTAGATTGATTGGCAGCCTCTCTAGCTACCGCGCATATGAATCATCAGAAATGAATTGCGATAGATAAGCAAAGGTGCGTGTTGGACTTTCATTGGAGAAACCTGCTCATTTGAAAGCAAATAAAAGATAAAGTTGCTTTATCCCCCGCAATTCTCTCCCTCCGCTACGCTATTTTCCTTTTTCCTTTTTGAAATATTTAAGAATCGCGGATCCATCAATCTCCAACATGGCCCTTAACGATAGGGAGAAGCGACCGATACGGGAACGAGCCTACCAAATGGAAATGTTCCGAGCTAGTCTTCAGCAAAACATTATTGTCTCGGTAAGATTGGGGAACATTCCGTGGAAATTATTAGACAATAATGCTAAATAGGGCAATTCAGATGGGCACCGGGACTGGGAAAACTCTCATGTTGGTCTTTTGGATGGGTTGACCTTTTTGTCTCAAAGTACTGATCGATGCTTCAGAGCCGTTCTTCGAATCCGCGAAGCACTGAACATTCATCCAGATAAGGTAGCCCACTTTTGTATCCCCTCTTCCATTGCCTCTAGCAATCGTGCGGGGTGGGGGCTCACCCAACATATAGCTTGTCTGGTTTCTTTGCCCTACTATTGCGCTGTGTGAGCAACAAGTCGATGTTCTCCGGACCCACCTTCCCTACAGCCGTCCTCGATCCTTCACCGGCAAGGATCAAGTCGACCACTGGGGAGAAAAGGCCGTCTGGGATGCCGCTCTGTTCGGCGTGCGAGTCGCAGTCTCAACCTATCAGGTCCTGTTCGACGCCCTAACGCACGGGTTCACGAGAATTGATCAATCCTCATTACTGGTATTTGACGAAGGTAAATTGGAATATGTAGAACCTCTGCTGTTTAGAAATTAATTGCCATCGCAACTAGCTCATCATTGCACTGGAAACAGCCCTGCGAACAGAATCATGAAAAACTTCTACCACCCCTACAAACAAACGATACCGAACAGTTTACCTCGGATCCTGGGTCTGTCGGCCTCTCCAGCCCATTCGAATGTATCTAGCCTCGAGTAGGTCTGCAACTGAGAGTGAGAGGGTGGGAAAGGGGGAAGTGCTAATAGCCCATATGACAGGAAGCTGGAGAGTGATCTCGACAGCAGGTGCATGGGCCCGAATCGATACTATCAGCAGCTGTTGGATTCAACCAATCGTCCTGAGGTGTGCATTTATCGTTTCTTAGATGATGACGGACTCCGAATTAGTGCCGAACCCCGGCTATTGAGTTGGCTGCGTGGCATTACCGATCATGCAGAGAAGTATCATCATCAGTCGAGGACCGCGCAGCTTCGCCAATTTGTCCAAACTTCTGAAGCCCTTTATCACGAGCTCGGCAGCTGGGCGGCGACCGAGTACATGTCCACGGCCATCAGGCACTTCAAAGAGCACCAACGCTCGTGTGCCGAGACAGAATGGTGCACTAGTACTGTCAAAGACTTCACTATGCAGACGCTCTGCGAGCTCGGCCCGCTGGAGCAGCATCCCAAATCGCCTACCACACCTGCTGATCTCTCCCCAAAATGCCGGGGGCTTCTTGAAACTCTGTCCCGACTGGTGAATCGAGACTTTCGGGGGCTGATATTTGTGGTTCGACGAGCGGCGGTGATGATACTAAAGTCACTGATCGAGAATCATCCCGATACCAAAGACAATTTCCGCTGCGGCACTTTTGTCGGCATGTCAAAAATGCAGGGCCTGACAGACCTTGGGAAGTGGCATGATAACATCCGTGGGCAGGAAGAGACGATGGCCAAGTTCCGTATGAAAGATCTGGATCTAATCATCACCACTAATGCACTGGAAGAGGGAATCGACATCCCATCCTGCAATACTATCATCAGCTTCGACCGACCTCTGAGTCTCAGGTCCTTCGTCCAAAGACGTGGAAGAGCTCGCCAAAAACAATCCACCTTCATCATTTTCGCTAATGACAAGCAGGAAGAAGAAGAGTTGAGGAAACTGATAGATTTAGAAGACAAGCTGGTGCAGACCTACCGAGATGGCACACGAGCTATTCCCGACTCACCATGTGAGGCAGACTCTTATTTGTCACTAGAGGTGAAGGACACAGGGTATATATGACTGCAAAAAAGGAAAAGAAGAGCATGAAAGGATGTTTTTACTAATATATGATAGCGCTCGACTGGGCATGCTGGATGCTGTGAGCCATTTGAACACCTTTTGTGCAAAACTGCTGCGACAGCCATATGTCATCAATCGGCCCCTATATAATTACCAGGAGAGTCCCGATGGCCGGGTTCGAGCCACAGTCCTCTTACCTAGTTCTCTTCATCCGTCTCTTCAAGAAATTGAGGGCTTGTGCTGGTGGTCCAGTAGAAAACATGCGAAAGCCGACACTGCATTACAAGCATACAAGGCTTTGCGGGCGGCAGGCTTGGTGAACGACTATCTACTACCAACTAAGCCCTCCGACCTCATCGAGCCGGCCTTACTTTCTTGCAAAGGCTTCCATCTTCTACCGGAACCATTCAATCCTTGGGCTGAGGCAGCTGCTCAGTGGAACACCGGCGGGGGGAGCCTGTACGCCCATCTTCTGGAGATCCAAATCCCGGGAAGGAACAGTCTCAAGCTAATGATGATCATCCCTCTGCAGATCTACAAGCAGACCAGGTTTCCCCTATTCTTGCATGACGGGACCACCATCATTGTCCGCCTGTGGCCAGGCTCACTAGTCGCCACTGACCATCAAAATACCTTGCTCTACCGTCGGGTCACACATCTGATCCTCCAGTCTGTGCATGGGTATCTGCTACAGACTCAGGATCGAACGGACTTTGTTGCCCTTTTTGTTCCAGATGCAGCACCAGCTGCGATGCAACTTTTCCTGGAGACATGCTCTGGTAGTGTCCCCCTCGACGAGGCTTTGAAGAGCGAAAAGCACACGCGGGCACCAGGCCTTCTGCGTAGCCCTACATGGCCCTCCTACCCGTGGATCATAGATTCACGGCATTTGGAATCCCCATGCAGCCTCCAACGCCTTCGGGCACACATCTACCCTCTGCCCCGGAGGCGGAACTTTCTATCTCGCTGCCTTCCCGGAGGTTTGAAACCGGGAAATCTGGCGACAGACCATAAAGGCCGGAAGACATTCTCAGAGGACCAGGAGCTGAACATGGATCGACTACCCCTTCCATGGGCCCTGGCGGCTCTGTATATTCCCAGTATCACCCATGAAATCGGTATATGTATGGTTGCCGAACGACTACGGGAGAAAGTTTTATCAGGCATGGCCTTCCGCCGGATAGGTCTCCTTTCCCTGGCAATTCGACCAACCTGCTCCGAGAGGCCGGATCGGTTCCGGTCGTTGGCCTTTGTGGGGGCCACCTTTCTGAAATTCATCACCAGCGAGCAATTGTTTCTGCACCACCCCACCTGGCATCAAGGCCTACTATCCAAGCTCAAGGAGACTGTTGTCTCAGACCAGGGGCTGGCCCAGGCAGCCAGGATGTGCAGGCTGGGGGAATTCCTCATCACCAGACGATTCAGCGGCCGGAAATGGAAGCCCGCATGGATTTCCAGTTTTCTGTCACCACCGGGCTCCATGGAGCCACGGAAGATCAGCGCCAGGACGCTGGCCGAGATGGTAAGAGCAATCGTGGGCGCAGCCTATATGGACGGCGGCAGCAAGCAAGCGGCGACCTGTGCCGCGGCTCTTGTGCCGGCAATCAAGACTTGGTATGCCGCAGCGCTGAGTGACGGTAGCTTTGAGCAGACTCGGCCAAGTCCCGGTCCCGTGATCTCGTGCTTTTCAATGCTGGGTGAGATGGAACAATTGCTCGGCTACACATTTACGGATCGCAGCCTGCTGGTGGAGGCATTGACGCATCCTTCCCACTATGCATCCGGAATGCCTCAGACCGCTGCCTACGGGCGATTGTCCTTCCTGGGGGATGCTGTGCTCGAGCTGGTGGTGACCCAGACTCTGCTCCACACTCCTAACCGGACTCTGGATGTGGACCGTTTGCAAAGTCTGCGAACCGCCGTGACTAATAATATGTTCTTGATGTTTCTGTGTTCGATGTTCCACATGGAAGTTGAAACCCATGTCGGAGATGCTACCCAACCAACCTTCAGCCGTACGGAGGAGACTATGGACGAGGTTTATCTGTGGACCTGTCTGCGTTCATACAGCATTGAGCTTACCACTGCCTTGGCCAAATTTCGATCAACGTCCCGGCGCAACTGCTGGAGGACTCAACTGGCTTTTCTGAGGAAGACACAATACCCTTGGGTTGAGCTAGCCGCGATGGGCGGCCACGCTGTCCTGGGTGATATTGTAAAAAGCGTGTTGGGGGCCGTGTTCCTGGATTCTCAAGCCAACCTGCGGGACTGCCGGCATCTGGCCAACAGGATAGGGATTCTCCCTCGTGTTAAGCAATTTCTTCGCGATGGCGTAGTCACAGATCATCCCAAAATCCTCTTACAGAAGCTACATCCAAGAACAAAGATCTTCTACCAAGGATATACCATACCCGCGCCAGACAAGCCCTTCTGCTGTGCGGTCTGGGTGGACGACGAGAAATTGGTTGATATTCAGGGATTCCCCAATCGGAATGTTGCTATGGTCTCTGCCTCTGAGGTTGTAGCACAACTTCTACAAGAAAGACTCAAGACCCGGTGAGGTTTGACAAATATATAGATCGATGTTGAAATAGCTACTGAATATCTAGCCCATGAATCAACATTAAGATTCAGGGTGCCTCTGAGAGGTATTACAGTGGATTGCTCAATAACGATGGAATGTTCTAGAAAGCTGGATACATCCATGTAACAGAGATAACAAGATGGAATATCAAGGAAAATTCTGATCTCAAGTGGTACTGTAAAGAATACCGGAGATAGCTAGTCTACTGTAGGCAAGGACTTACTGGGAAGTAGGAAAACACTGGAGAGTAGGGCCTTATTGGCTGAACTGGATGAAAAGACGACTGACCTATCAAGAACTCCTACTATCCATCCCCATTGCTAGTAAAATACCAGGATCTGGAGCAGGTCGATAAAGATACGCTGGAACAATATACATGAAGTTGTACGACCAAAGCGGAACTTGCATCAGACCGGAACCTTGCCAATCAATGATTTGTTTGCCATATTCTCGGCCCGTGACATGAAACAGCCATTATCTCAATAGACTAGAAGTTACTGAGACCCTGAGGGTAAAGCACGATGGCTTGTGGTTCCAAGGAGGACTCTCCATAGTCAAGAGTTCGCAGTAGATTCCTAAGTCATTCACAACTACTTGTTGGCCTGAAGATAGGGAAAACTAGATAACTAGCCCATGTAGTCAGCTTATCGCATGCGTAATTCAACCGTGGTGGACAAAGCGACTTCTAGAGGTATAAAAAAGCCTATATATGAATTAATGAGAAGCACTCGTGAAGGTTTGAGAAGGATTCGAGTTTTGATATGGGAAGTCCCCGTCAGTCCTACTGGAAAATATGTTCTCAATAACAAATGTCGTCTCCCGCTCGTCTCGACTAGCTTTCGAAAGGAATTGTTCAAACTTAGTACTTGATATCCTTCGAAATAATTACACCAAGTAAACAAACACAACCTAGACTACATGACAGAGTACTTAACATCAACCTCCTCACTCTTCACCTTCCCTTCCTCCTCCCCCGCCGTAGGCTTCCTCCCCCAAACCCTCCTTCTACGTAACGTTAGCTCGACCGCTCCATCAAATGATCAAGGAGAGAATAAAAGAAAAAAAAGAGAAACCCACGCATACTGCCACATATGAATATGTGGATCCTGCAACTCCTTCCTAACCTTCGCCAACAAAACCAACACCTCCTCCTTCGTCCACGGTATCGGAGCCCCGAACTTAGTAAGAAGATACATGCCCCAACCCTCCATACCAGCCGTCCACTGGTGATAATGCAATCTCCCCACTTCTTTAAGTGTAGGATCACGCGCCCACGGTCCAACCGGCCACCTATACGTCTTCTCGTGGATATCAACAAACCCGGCCTTTTCCATTGCAGTGCGCATCGTGTCCAGCGTATCGAGGGGATGATTCCATTCCTGTCCTGCGCGGAATACCGCTTGAGTGAAGTGGACCATACTGGAGTCTGGGGACATGCTGGAATCTGAGCAGTGGATTCGGGGGTCGCCTTCTATTTGTTCGATCCAGCCGCCTGGGATTAGGTTTCTGTTACTTTGTTAGATTGGTATTCAGGAAGGGAAGTGCGGGTGTGGGTGGTGGATATTGAGGCGGCGAGGATGGGAAGGCTCACTTGTAACACTGAGCAAATAGACCATCCCATTCAACAGGGGTGAAGGCGCCTATCAGCTGGCGCATGTGGATTAGGTCGAAGGGCTGGCGCCAGGTCCATTCCTGTAGGACGTCGTCGACTTCCATGATGCAGTTTGGGGGGAGCCAGTCTCCTGGTGGGGGGAAGAGGTCTACGCCTCTGACGGTTGCTTGGTTTGGTTAGCTCGCTGTCTGGGGAGTATGGGGACATATGTATGGATTCATGTGCTTACCATCTGGGAACATGTCGGCTACATCGCTGTGTTTTATCAGTTGGTGTTCTTGGGCTAGGGAAGTTGTACTCTTACATGGCCCAGTTGCCTCGGCCTGTGCCGATATCCAGGATTTGCTTGCATTTTGTCAGTGGGGTATTTCATAGTTGTTTAGTTCCTGGGTGTATGTGTATACCTTAGGGTCTTTCAGGGGTGCCTGGTAGAGTGGGTTGTCGGTATCGGCGTCTAGAAGTATACACAAGAGGTGACTGGCTGAGTTAGTGTGTGTGTGTGTGTGTGTGTGTGTGTGTGTGTGTGTAGTGAAGTCATAACTCACCCTGCCTCTAAACTCTCAAATTGTTGCTCGTCGGATGGAAACCTGGAGGAATATTAGAAGGCATATAGTTGAGTTGATGTTCGGGCACGTACCAAGATGCACCCTCCCTCACGGTCTGATAGCTGATATGTTGTTAATATCCAACACCGGGAGATTTGAACATGTGCATACCGTCTTCCATTTTCAAACACCCCCCGGTAGACAGACGATGATAGAGAGGTCGTTTCACTGAAGTTTGGGTTAGAGTAATTGATAGTAGCATAGTGCATATACCCACGAAGCAAAGTCACTATCTACATAGTCGTCATGTCCATGGTCATAGTAAACCGGATCCTATCGTTGATATTAGGTTCCTATCAATCGGATCATAAGAATTCACCTACAATCTCGATCGATGTGTCCATCGCTAAAAGTACTGAAAAGAAGTGCAAATTTCGAAGATAAGAGACAAGAACCCCATTATTTAACAAGTTGTGCGAATTGAAAAGACAAAAGAACCCATCAAGGATCCAGACGGATACATGACTCTTTCCAGCTTTAGTGCGAGTGTCTCATGATCGACCAACGGCCTTACAGTTGTCCCCTTGTCGTTAATATATGTTACCCACCTAGACCGTTGGGGAAGGATTGGATTGGACCAATCAGAGAGATGAGAAAATCCACCGGGTCGCAAGTTCTATGCTGAAGTGTCTTTTTTTTTCCTTTTTGTTCTCAAAAAGAAGGAAAGAAGATTAAGAAGACTAAGACCAAGGTAGAGCAGATGACAAGAGTCAATTGCCGAAAAGGCGGAAAGGGAATCGGCACTTCATCCACATGGCATCACCGTCCTTAACATCCTTGTCCATCATCCTTGTCTTCATCCTTGTCTTCATCCTTGTCCATCATCCCTGTTCAATAATCCTGGTCAGCCTGTCTCTGATTGAATAGGGCCTTATGCATTTCATCCCGCGTCTTAGTCTCGGCGGAGTTTCAATTAGGAAGGACTGGTGACGTCTGTGACTCGGATATTTTTGATCTCGGGGAGTACATTAACACACACCAGGATCCTTTGAAATCTTGTCTCTAATGTTTTCAGGTCTCTCTGTGTTGGTATGAGACATTCCCCGCATACAGAACCCATCTAGGAAACTGAGTGGTTGAGGTCCAACCTCATCTCAAGTCTCCGCTCCGACCCTCTCAAGGCTCTCAACAGTCTACAACATAGACATGACAACACATACCCATAATCAATGAGGCTGACAACTTCTTCAGACTTCCAATCCCTGAAGGTGCTTGGACAATTGCCTTTCGTACAGCAAACTCTCTCCTCTTCTGGTCCGAGCGCCAGCGCCAAATTCTGATCAGTCATTGGCCACAGCCAGTAGGGCAGCACATCACAGTGCAACTTGCATCGAACCAACCAACGTCGTCAATTACCCGCTCACCTCTATGGATTCTGCACTGCTGAGCGACCTGCTTAAAAGAATGCCATAGCCACCTCAAGGCGGATTTCCTCTCTCTTTTTTTTTTGTTCAGCGAGCGTTTGTTGTGTTTATCTGCCCTATTCGAGTGATCCTGAGCACTGGTTGCCTGGACCCTTTTTTTTCCTTTCTTTATCTTCTATACTATTCTAATTTTTTTACTCTTTTTACCCTCAAACGAGCTGTGCTCTTTGAGTTTGTGCCTTGCTACGGATTTTCCTCGAATTTTACAACTATTAACAGTTCTACTTGTCGCCGGTCGACTTGATTTCGCTGTTCAACAGATATCTACAACAAACTCAATTTTAATATAATCTCGCTCGATTATTCTTCTTTTCTTTGTCGGACCGGTTCCCCAAAGATCAACAAAGAGTCCAATATTTCCAATCAACTTTGACAACCCAAACTCTGGTAGTTTTTAGGGTTGTTCTAACTATATACGATTCTCTTGATCTTTCGCCCCTACGACAACTTTTTTTTTAAATTCCAATTTTTTGTGTCTACATTTGATTCATCATGGCCGCCGTTCAACTCAAGTTCTCCCTCCGGACCTCGTCCAACGTCAAGACCGTCCACCTCGTCGGTTCATGGGACAACTACCAACGCCAGATCCCGCTCTCCAGCGAAGAAAAGCCCGGCGCCTGGGTTGGCAAGTTCCGCTTCCAGACCTCAATGCTCCAACTCGGAGGCCGCTACTGGTACTACTACATGATGGACGGGTACCACGTGTCCCACGACCCAGCCGTCGAATACACCGTCGAGCCCACCACCGGCCGCAAGCTCAACATCCTCGATGTTCCCGGCGGCAAGCCCACCAGCCGATCTTCCGCCCCAAAGACCAGCCGCGGCAACATCGCCACCGGCCGCGCCCTGTCCCCCTCGCGCATCCAGCACCCAAAGCCAACAAAGCACTACGCTTCCCGCCAACTCCGCGAAGCAGACTTCGCTCCAACCGTCGACGACCTCACCCGTCGCTTCGCGGGCTCCCGTCTGTCAGATGAGTACTCGTACTCGAACAGCCCGCCCAGCTCTGCGGGGTCATCTCTTTCGTCGCGGTCGTCATCGGGCTCGACTTCGCCTTCCTCGCTCTCGTCTATGAGTGAGCCCCCCGTCCACTGCCGCTGCGAGCGATACGGTATCACCCGCAAGGGTGACCGTGTCAAGCTTGACTGTGGTGGTTCGCGCTGTGGATACGTTGAGTCTTCGGATGATAGCTGCTCTGAGTCGGAGTATGAGAGTGATGAGGAGTACACTCGTGCTCGCAATGCTGTTCGTCGTCAGGGTATTGTTGTTCGTCGGTAGATGGGTTATTATTTGGCGGGTTCCTGGGACCTTGCTAGGTTATTCTGCTCTATTTGTTCCTTCGCTTGACTTGTTCTGGTCTGGTGAGACTTGGTCATTGCGTTTGTTTTGATTTCTGAAAATGATAAAAAAATACCAAAAACAGCCCGGGCCGCGTGGACTGGTTTTGCGCTGCGGTTGGGCGGGGATGAAGACTGTGTGGTGAGAGGGTAAGAGGAATAAGGGGAGTGGGGGAAGAAGAGTGCTGCTGAAGAAGAAGAAGAAGAAGAGGAGGAGGAGGAGGAGGAAGAGGAGGAAGAAGAAGCCATCGATTATAATACCCAGGTATTTCGATGTGGACAACATCTACCCTGGATCATCGAATCCAGCCTCGTGGACTCCGACAAGCTTATCTTGAACCGGTCAAGATTCCGATCTGACCAGCACAAGCCATAAGATGACAAGATCTGTCCTGAGCCTCCTAGATCCAAAGGAGGTCCGACCAAGATGGAAAACGGCATCTCGTCAACCAAAGAACATCCCTCCGATGTCATGGACTTGTTCATGCTTTGGTTTAGGTCTTACTCTGAGATACCAATGAATAATGAGATACGACCTGCGTCCATGTTTATTGTAGATTGAGGATTCAGGTAATTGTAGCTACGATTCCTGACGAGATATCCTTGAGTCGGGGATCGGAATATCCGAGTAGATTCGAATATGTGTGCCGACAAGAGATAAGATAGGGGAAGGTTAGGCATGTTACAAAAGGGGGGGTATAGCTGTGCTTAAATGTGTTGGAGGATCAACTCTATTTACAGATCTAGGTAGGAGCAGTGGAAAAAACCACACAAAAAGTGTTTCAATTCAAGTATGTAGGGCCGGTTATTGTAATGCGATGGCCAACGATTCTCCGAGACGCCGCGAAATAGGCCAAGCAGATGCGCATTTTTCCAGCAAGATCATTAAAGTACAAATGTGAAGAGAGCAACCGTAAATCAACGCACCGAAACCCCAGAGCGATCGGTGAACATCCGAGCGGCAATGTTCATGGAGGCCAGCTCTTGGAACAACAGCTTGGCGGCGTAGGGGATGTGGACTTGCGAGATACGGTGCTTGTTGTTGCAAAGACGACACTCGAAAAGGCCCTTCTTCAGTTTCCTATAAAGACGGTTAGTTTTGTGTGTGGTGAAAAGCCAACAAGGTAGGGATTAAACTTACGCAACTGGTGTCATCAGGCCGCAATCGTCGCAAATATGAACACGGAACGGATCAGAAACGTCAAAGAGACGCTCCTTCAGGAAGGCACTGGCACCGTGGGCGATCATACAATCACGTTCCATCTCTCCGAAACGAAGACCACCGTCACGGGCACGACCCTCCACAGGCTGGCGAGTCAGAATCTGAGTAGGACCACGAGCACGAGCGTGGATCTTATCGTCCACCATGTGGCGCAGGCGCTGGTAGTAGGTGGGACCCAGGAACACTTGCGCCACCATCTTGCGACCAGTGTGGCCGTTGAACATGACCTCGAAACCACGGGACTGGTAGCCGTGCTCCCGCAGCAGACGGGAGACGGAGTCGACAGTGACATCGGTGAAAGGAGTAGCATCACCCTCGAATCCACGGAGAGCGGAAACCTTGCTGAGCTGACATTCGATCAAATGGGCAATGGTCATACGGGACGGAATGGCGTGGGGGTTAATAATCAGATCGGGAACAACACCTTCCCGAGTAAAAGGCATGTCCTCCTGTCGGTAGGTGATACCAATGGTACCCTTCTGACCGTGACGAGAGGCGAACTTATCACCAATCTGGGGGATCTTGGTGGTACGCATGCGAACCTTGACGAACTTCAGGTCATCGTTACCAGTGGAGATCAACACCTGATCAACGATACCGTTTTCGGTACTACGCAGAGGCGTCGACACATCGATCTTGGTGTGTGCCTTGGTGCGCTGACCGAGCTCCTCCGCATCAGCAGCCAAGGGAGCTGTCTTTCCAATAATAATGTCTTCTCCAGAAACACGCACACCGGGAGCAACGATACCGTCCTCGTCCAGCTTGTCATAAGTACCCTTGCGCATGCCCAGGGTGTCAATGCGCATTGGTTTCTCGAATCTCTCAACAACTTGCAGTCCCACCATCTTCTCGGTATCCGCGTAGGTACGGTAGAAGAGACTGCGGAACAGACCACGATCGATACTGCTCTGGTTCATGATAACGGAATCTTCCTGGTTGTAACCAGAGTAAGTTGCAATAGCAACAATAGCATTCTGACCGGCGGGCAACTCTCGGAAACGCAGGAACTCCATGGACCGAGTAGTGGCCAAGGGCTTTTGTGGGTAGTAGAGAATATTGGCCATAGTCTCCATGCGCTGGGAAAAGTTCGTCAAGAAAACACCCATGGCTTGTTTACCCATGGCAGACTGATAGGTGTTACGTGGTGACTGGTTGTGATCCGGGAAAGGAATAATACTGGCGCAAATACCCAGGATCATACTAGGGTGAATTTCGCAGTGCGTCCAGGTGTGGGCACGCTGGCTGAGAATCGACCGAACACGCTTGTTGGGGTCGCTGGTTTCGTCTTCTGGCAGAGCGTAACCGGCCTGAAGCTGGCGAGAGATCTCGAGATCCTCGGGGGTCATGACAATCATGATGGT